CTCCGGGACCCTCTTTGGTGCGGTCCTTGGGCTCTCCCACCCGGGAGGCCCCCCAAAAGAGCTCGATATCAGTTCCATCCAACAGAACCCTGGGATTTGGAGTTTCATGAGATATTTTATATTCTCACCAAACTACAAGTCCTAGTGTGCTGGTATGGCAATGCCAGGAGATTTGAACCTCTTTTTCTTGCACTGCTAGTTTGTATGAATTTATTTAAGCCATGCTTTTTGCAATCAGGTAGCTTCCCCAAGTTGCAGTCATAGGGCCAGCAACCTGGCAATCATCGTTAGAGTCTTTAGACCCGCCCTTTTCCCAGAGTTTTGGAGGCAAAGGAGGACTTTTGTTCAGTCTCACTGTTTGGAGCCTAACAGCAGGACGTGTGAGTTTCTCTATCCCACCTGCACAAAGGCTTCACTACTCACAGCTCTGCCAGGGGGAATAAAGGAATAATCCCACAGCTTTTGCTGGGGGAATACAGCCAGCCGTTGCTGGGGCAACAGGACAGTTCCTCCAGCCTTCGTGGAGTAACCTAAAGGACACCTTTCAGCTTGGCAGATCTACAGAAATCTGGTCTGGTAAGGGACCACTCGGGCTAGCCATAAAGTAGCTTGGAGCCAGGAGTAGGGGCCTCATGCCAGCAAGGTAAAAAAAAAGATTGCCCAGTGAGGGGTCAGAAGATTTCCCTAAGGAAGAAAGGAACAGTTTACCACCAGTTGCCTGCCCCTTGTTGGCAGATTGAGAAAGCTACCGGTTTTCCAAGGTTATGAAATGTTTAATTCATTTGTTTGAAGATTTAAGCCCAAATAAAAAACTTTGTTGAATTTATTTTGAGCCTCAATAGAACTTTGTGTTGGGAAATCTAAGGGGCCCTTCAGCTGAGGCACCCCGGCATCCTGTTGGGCATACAGAAGGCACGTCCTGTAAACAGACATTATTTCAGGCCCAGCGTGCAACAGCAAATAGCGTATTGTAAAAACACATCGAAAGTGTAGGCAAAAAAATCAGGAATAAAGAAAGATGTATATCCAAAAAGCAATAAGAGATAATCCAACAGGAATCCACATGTCTCAGGATTGTGGCACAGCTGGCTGAGTGTCAGCTGCATTAAGATCACTCTGGCCAAAAGGTCATGAGTTCGAAGCCAGCCTGGGATGGAGTGGGTGTCTAGCCATTGTATAGCCCGTTGTCGACCTTTGCAACCCGAAAGACAGTTGCATCTGTCAAGTAGGAAAATAAGGTACCACCTTGTGTGGGAGGCTAAATTAACTAATTTATGAGACCATAAAGAAAACTCCGGGATGTGAAATGTGGAAGAACTTCATCGGTATCGCTGATGGACGATGAAAGCAGCAGCTCCCCTGGCGGCCAGAAAAAAGTTAAATAGCCTCTGTGTATTGTCTGTATTCGTTGTCTGTCAAACTGGCATTGAATGTTTGCCATATATGTGTATATTGTAATCTGCCCTGAGTCCCCTGTGGGGTGATAAGGGCGGAATATAAAAACTGTAAATAAATAAATAAAGGTACACCCAGGAACAGCCAAAAAATCACAAGAACAACTTAAGTCCACAAAAGGTATACTTAGTAAAACTTGATCATGAAATACAGAAACATAGAAACTTCCAATATACTTGGATCCCAAAACCAAAGGGTTGACTTGAAAGGGTTGCTTGAGTCCTGGTTAACTGAGAGTCTACTGTATTATCTCAACATTCCTGGGAAACATTCCATAAAGTTACCTGGAAACTTCAGGAAGCAAGAAGCGTGAAAAAAAATGGATTAATAATGCTCCGGTTCCCATTTCTCAGAGTGTTGAAAAATGAGTTTTGCAAAAGCTTTCTAGCTCCATGCACAGCACCACACCTACGTAGTGTGTGGGAGGGACCCATAAGCATGTGCACATTGATAATACAATACAAAAGAGCCTAATTCCAACTACGTTCACAATTTCCTTCATTTACAAATGTTTCCTTTTATTTTAAAGAGTCCCTTGCATGGAGAAAACTAGCCAATCAAGAAGATCTGTCTCCCTGGCAAGCTACTTGTCTACATGAAAGGAGATCTATCAGACAGAGGAACATTTAGGCCAAGAAAATGTCAAATTCCAGGTTGGCATCTGCAATTTTGAATGTACTGCGTTAAAAGATGCATGAGGCATATTAGGAAAAAGTCGTTTCTGCATGCTAGTTTTCCTTGTGAAGAAAAATTAGTTATATGCACAGGTTTAATCCTGGGGAAGCCTTTGAAAATGCACCTGTAATCTCAAGTGCTGCACCCTCTGAACTTTGTACTATTCTTCCATTCCCCGCCCCGCCCCCCCCCCCTTATTTCTTTCTTATGTAAATCAAAGTAAGAAGGGAAAAGGACAGAGTCCACTGACCCCTGGATCCACTTGTTTAGTTGGATTCATACAATAAGCAAATAATTACAAAGGGATTGCTGTAGATCAGCTTCAGGAGCTTGAGGAGTCAGAAACTGCAACATTAGATAAGGAGTCAGGCAGAAAATTAAGTGATGCAGAAGACTCCCAGGAAAAAAAACACCTGGAGACTTTGTTTACAGATTAGAGCACAAAACAGGCATTGCAGGTCAGAGTGATTACGTGGGAAAGTTCGGGAGAGAATTAATGGGAGATGAAATGCTTTCATGAGTGACTATTAATTGGCAAGTTGTTTACTCAAGAGTTAGTTCAGGCAACGTAGTGTGTGAGTGAAAAGCTAGGCCCGAGTTCTCTGGTTCTTATTTCCTGGTATATATGGAAGCAATTGGTTGCATTGGAGACAGAGGCGGCCCTAGGTAATTTTCAATGGTAAGCAAACAGTATTTTGGTGCCCCCCCCCCCCAACCAATCACTGATATATATTTTCTGTTGGTCATGGGAGTTCTGTGTGCCATATTTGGTTCAACTTCATCATTGGTGGAGTTCAGAATGCTCTTTGATTGTAGGTGAACTATACATCCCAGTAACTACAACTCGCATATGTCAAGGGCTATTTTCACCCAAGAGTGCCTCAAGAGCGCCCCTGGGCAAAATCAACTATACTGCAAATGCTTACTTTGCGTAATTTGTTGAACTGCCCCTGATTGGAGAATGGTTCTCAGTGTCAACATGTTCCTTCAAAATCAAAATCTACCCTTCTATAAACCATTAGACTTCTCTGGGACAGCCCTTTGGTTATTTAAAGAATGCAATCAAGTTACACCTCAATCGTCGTCACACCAAGCTAAACATGCCAATTCTGTCACATTTCCATACCTCTGAGCATCCTTGTTGCCCTTTTCTGAAACCTCTCTATCTAGATCATCGGAGCTGTTTCGGGTCGTGGGGGAACTCCTCCACCCACCTGAGGTGGAGGAGGTCACTGATGACCCAGCAGCTCGGTGTCGCGATTTCGCACACCATTTTGCAGGTAAAGTCGCTCAGATACGCCTCGAGCTCGACTCCAATTCCATCGCAGTGCCAGAAGAGGTGACGGAGGCACCTGCTTGTCCATCTTTGTGGGATTCTTTTAGGCTTGTTCTTCCTGAAACCGTAGAGGAGGTTCTTGGGGCTGTGAGGGCGACCACCTCACCTCTAGACCCATGCCCATCT